TTGTTCTCTTGTGGCCATTGTGCAGCCTCCCTGTGGCAACTACTGCCCTGCTGTGGCTCCATTCTGGGGGGCCACAAGCCCCAGGCCCCCAGACAATGCCTGTCCAGGCTTAATCGCCACTCCACCAGCGATGCCACTCCAGCATCCTGTTTTCCACTTCCTCTGTCTTGTGCTGTTTTTCCTACTGCTTCTTCCATGCATTTCAGCCTTCTTTTAAATGAGACCATCAGCCAGTCAGAATGTTCCTCTACTTCAGTCATATATTTTTCTCCAGCCCGAGCTATAGTTTGCAGAAAAAGTCCCATGTACAACCCAAACCACAAAGACAGATTCACTCAGTCAGGAGTGGGTCTGGACTTCACCAATTTGTACAGTTCTAAAGGTAGCCACAGGTTTGGGAATCAGGGCTCTGCCTGATGTCAGAGTCCCCCGCATGCTCACTAAGGATGACTTCTCATAGAGGCATATTCACAGGCTCCTGCCCAGAGGTCTTGGCTGCTTTGGATTCCAACAGTCTGGTTCCTTGATAACCACTAAGACTTTGCTGTACAAAGTTTCCATGACCTAATCCTAGGCTTGTTACCCTGTTGTGTTGTTCAAAAAGAAACTATGTTTTAGCCTTCTGGACACCTTTTTTTGCAAATAAGTGTCTGATAGAAGGCTCCTGTTACTTGAGCAGCATATTTAGTGCTTTAAAGGTCAAAGATGTGTCAGAAAATTAGCTTTCAGCCATTGAAATACATTGATTTAAACATATACAACATAAAGTGTTGCCTTACAGCAGGTGACCATCAATGCATATATGATAGCCCATTAGATATATCTCAGGCACCTCTCATGGGTTATCTTGGCAACATGGTAGAAAAACCCTGGTAAATGCAGCTAGCACTGGTAAGAAATTGCAGTTAAGAGCACCCACTTACAGTGTCTACCTAAGATAGGTGTTGCATTGCTGAGTATTTTTATTTCAAATCCTCACAACAACCCTGGAAAGTGGAAGACTTAGACTCAGAAATGGAGGGGAACTCATTCCAGATCGTATGGTTGTAAGTGCTAGAAGGAGGTAGGAGATCAGACAATCCCTGCTCTGCACAATTAGTAGTGACTTGCGACCAGTACCCTCAGGGTCCAGGAGCACACTTTGTGGGACAAAGAACCGAATAACAGGGCTTCCCAGAACTCTGACTGCATGCATAGACTGCTAATTCCCTTCCAGAGAACATGCTGATTTAACAACTGAAATGTGGTGGCTCAGGGTAATTTGTAGTTTTTGTTACAAGCTAGTTCAGATGAATACCCTTATTTTTTCCATTATCTGATTTGAGTGCATTGTATTGGAGGTAAAAGACAAGAATGGGTTTGTTTCTTTGAACAGTTAAATGGTGGAGAGGAAAAGAATAGTAAGCTTTTGAGCACAGATATTTTTATTTATACAGCATTGTCAAAATAGAGGACTACAAATTCCCTATCACTCTTACCAAAAGATTACAAAGCACATTTTGTTCCTTGTTTTTCAGTTGGTCAAACTTGTGTCTCCAAACTATTTGATGTTTTAAAGTAAAACTGAACTCACTAGCAAAATGTCTATTTTGATAAATCAGAAACAAAAGACCAAAACTAAGGACTTCCACAATGGAAGGTGCCCTGGGAAATATTTCATAGAATAGTGGAATCAGGGACTTGTTTACCATGATTCTGTGTCTCCATCTGATGGGGAGTATAAATAGGTTTCTATACACAAAGGGACCCAGGGAATAGTGAGGCGGGGAATATTTGACTTGTCTTGGTATGTTTGTGAATGTGCATTTTTATGTAATGGCAAATACACTGTTGGCCTTTGAGTCAGCCAGCCACTGTAAAATATCCTCAACTTCATAGGCACCAAGATAGTGTGCCCACCCCCAGCCCCAAAGAAAGCATTTCAAACTAGTATTAATCATCTAGTGTCCTGGTTTGGACCCTATGGTGAAAGCCACCTACTGCAACTGAATGCCATTCAGCGGCAAGAAACGATTTGCAATATAATTTAAATGAAGGGTTGGATCCCTTTCCCATTTAGAGCACACCAGTATGGAAAACTGATTGTCAGGCATTCTGGTGATGTGCATCGACTTGGCTATTCACTCAGAAAATGAAGTTTCCTGAGACACCAGCACATTTAATTTATTTTTTCCCTGTGAAGTTAACTTCAGCTTGCTAAATACAATGACTATCCAAACGGCAGAAAAACCAACACTATTAATTTTAATGCTTATAATGTAATGGAGGGAGATTATATTCATTTGGGATTTTTCTTTTTAATAGAATGTTTACTTGCCCCTCTCCTTATGCGTTAATTATTATTTTCTCTCCATAATGCTCTGCTTGCATCCGAGCAGCCAAACTGCATTTCTGTTAATGCCCTGAATTTCGGAATTGCTGGTGAATCTAGCATTTTCGCAATGTTTATGTCACCAAAACATCAAGAGCTTGGCAGTGAGTGTGTGTCTGATAGGAACACTACTCTTGCCCATAGAACCCTCTCATATATTTGTGTAAAACATTTAGTTTTCCTACAGTTTCTTTTCTAGGCTTTAATTGTCAGATCAAATGATTTTCCCATGAATTAGAAAGAGTAAACTAAAATGTATTGACTTTTCTTCTGTTATCAGTCAGCTATTTACTTTTAGTTCATTGACATATGCAGTTAATAAACTCTTAGTGTACCCCACTCAGATAAGCATTGTGCTAAACATGAGAGATTAGCCATTGAGTTGTAGCTCCCCATTTTAGGGAAGCCCACAGTAGGAGTAGGTTTTGCAAGCAGGAGCTACAGCACAGGCATGCATGGTAGAAGAGAGTTGGTTGTAGAAAATAACAGGGCACAATGGGAGGAACTCCCCCTAAATAGAGGATCCTGCAGGCAAGCTTTGCAGAACAGAAGATGTTACAGCTGGATGTTGGAGGCCAGGCACTGAGTTAATCAACTTGGCGTTGGAATGGTGGATGACGAGATGAAAGGACAGCTCAGGCATAGGGAAAGCACATATGCATATGCAGAGTGGTGATGGAAGCTTTTGATTGAAAAACCAATACAGGTGCCCCTGATTTATCGGAGGCTACACCCCAATAAACCTGTCTTCATTTGAAAATACCATTAGCTGACAATGCACTGAATCTACCTAACCTACAGAATGTCACAGTTTGGGAACACAGTGCACTGCAGGGAACAGGTTGTTGCCTCCTGTCACGTGGCTGGCTAGGGGCCACATCTCATTGCTGCTGCTCAGCATGGAGCAGGACTGAGTGAGGAAAAGAGAGTTAAACCACACATTGCTAGCCTGAAAAAAAAGATCAAAATTCAAAATATAGTTTCTCCTAAATGCATATGCCCTTATATAATCACAAAGTTGGAAAGTCATAAATCTCATCATCTTAGGTCTATACGTGCTTTTTAAGTAATAATTTAAACTGACATTTGCTGAGCTCACCATTTGCCAGCAATTCTTATATCTGCAACTGCCAATCTTGCAGGGACCCACTGAAGTGGTATCAGCAGCATCCCACTTTTACAAATAAATAGATGCCTCAAGGGGTGCGGTAACCTGCCAGGTATCATAGAGCTGGTGGTTTTAGGATCAACTGGAACCTGGGTTCTTTACTATGAAGCCTTCAGGTTTAAATCTTATGCTCATGTCCTCTGCCCTCTAGAACTCTCAGTCCAGCTGCTCAGATAAGACTTGCAAATAGAACCCACCATGCATGACTGTGTTCAAGAGGGGACAGTAATTAAACTATAAGTCATGGAAAGGATTAATTTAAACAGGAATTATAGAAAGTGCTTAGGACAGTGCCTGGGACATTATAAAACATGTGTTAACTGCTGGCGTTATGATGATTAATATCTTAATAACATAAAAGTCCAAGAGTACTTTGGAATATAGCAGCAGAGCGTTCACTTTGGAGGACAATTACCAATAAACACACTTTGGAACTATTAACCCTGGGTGGCTTAATGATGGAATACTTAGAAAAAGGACTCCGGTCAGGATATAGTGGCAGCTGCCTGTTATCCTAGTTCAGATACTCAGGAGCCAGAGGCAGAGGGATCACAAGTTTGAGGCCAGTCTGGACCACCCAGTGAGACCCTGTCTCAAAACATAAAATTAAAGGAAGATATGTCCCTGGCAGTAGCTCAGTGTGAGGCCTTGGGTTTGATCCACTGCAGCACACCACACAGTATACACACATACACAGGGACTTAGTACACAGGGACTACCTCAGCAAGAAGGCACAGAATGAAAGTATCAAGAAAGCCGGAAAAGTTTTCAGTAAAGCAAACAGGCCGATGTGATGGAGCTTCAGTCTGTAAAGAGAAGCAGAGCGAGTCATATTGAACAGGGAAGGAGAGATTATTTACTGCCAAAGATGTATGTTGAGTGACTGCCACTATTTATACTTTGTGTTACATAGTTATTACAAAATTCCCAGAGGTTTAGGCTCATTTTTTTCCACTTGAAGATAATGAGGTTCAGAAGAATTAGACTAATTTTCTAAGGTCCCAAACTGAAGAGTGGTAGAACTTGGCCTCAAACTTGGCTCTGTTCCTTGAAGTGGCCTGCTCTTTTGGCTACATCACACTCGCATCTTCACACTTAGGGTCTTTCCAGCACATTCTCAATATTTATAAAATAATTTTTTAGTGAAGGTAACAGACAAAAAAGTAAGGAAAATGTATTAATATATTCTTCTTAGGGTTCTGCTTCTCAGTCCATGTAGCCCAGCATTCCTGCAGTTAAATTGCCGGTCTCCTTTTATTAAGATGGAAATAACTGGCCTCACTGTTTGATTTCCTATATATACACGTCCTCTCCCAGGTTGCCTCTGTGCCTGGACCTGTTATGACATATGTCCAAAATAATACACCATCCCCTGAAATAAGAGTTAACCAATGAAAGGGTTTGGTGTCTGAAGAAAGACTGCCAGGTGCTCAAACTGGAATCCTGCCTCTGTCTTTACAGTTGCTGTCACAAAGGATTACCTAAGTTCTCTGTGTCCTTATCTGCTTGATGACAATAATAGTAGTACCTGGATGGCATGTTGCCGGTAAGAATATGTATTAAAAACTGTACTTAAAAAACTAGTCTTTGATTGGATAGCATCATTGTTTTTCTTACTATTATGACTTATATATCATGACCCTTCAGGTAAAGAATTGTGATTGTTTCTGCTGGTGCAAGTGTGGAAAAGTCCTTTCAGACACTTCTAAAGAAAATAAAATCATACTACTCTTCTGGATGGTGATTTGACACTATCTATCAAAATGTAACATGTACATTTTCTTGTACATGTAACACACAATATTTCCACTTCAAGGCATTTATGCAGTACACTGTTTCTTACAAGTGAAAAGTGTATAATGTATGTATATCTTTTGGGTTTAGGCTTGTATATGTACAACCCAGTCCAAATGTTAAGAATACAGATTAAAGAGTGTGCCTTAGCCAGTTTCTGGTTGCTGAATCAAAAACCTGGGGCCTGAAACTTAAAGGGAAACAATGTATTTTGGCTCAAGTTTCAGTTCCTGGCTGGCTGACTCCAAAGCAGGACAGCATGGCACAGGGACATGGCAGAGGACGGTTGTGTGTGGCTTGGTGCAGAGAGGCAAAGAGGGTTAAGGGAAGAGTCGGAAAGCCTTTCAGGCCACATTCACAGCGACCTGTCTCTTGTAACAAGACTCTGACAGTAAGTCAGCTGTGAACCCATAGCCCTGATCCAGTCACTGTCCAGAAACCCATGTATAAGGCCGTGAGGCTCCTGGGGGACATCTACACATAAACCTTAACACTGCTTTCTCATTTCCTCCCCACAGTCCAACACAGAGCTGGGTACAGAGGCCCCGACAAATGTCCTTTTGTTAAGCCCGGTACAGTTCCAAAGCATTTCCGCACCCCATGCCCACCTGCCTGCACCACGCATACCGCAGGTGACCTCTTCACCCTGGCCCTCCTGACGCGTGCCCTCCTTCCTTCCATTTTGCTCTTGAAATTGACATCCGCTTTCTTTGTTGCAGCTACTTCCTTGGCTTCTCTAAATGACAATTCCTGACTTGTGGGCAATCTCAGAAAACCATCATCCAATTTCTTCAATCCAGACCCCAGGGGTCCTGCTTTCCCCAGAGTCACCTCTGCGCGGCTGGGACACATTGACTGAAGCACTTCTGAGGATACTCGTGAGTAAAACATCTGATTCTTTCATGAAAATCGCGGTAATCTTCCCCTTGCCCTGCCGCCCTCCACTTCTGAGTGTGATTTTGCATTTCTCAAACGTTGTTTCCAGTCCTCTTCCTTTCTGGACGAACTGTGTCCCCATGGTTAACACTCCCGGTTCCTTATTTGTTTAATCGCTGGCATAGACAGGAGGTTTGGCCAGCAGAAGCTGGGCACAGAGGGGCCTGCCTTTGTTCTCCTCCTGTGTGGTTCCATTCAGGGCAACTTGTCCCTGACGTAGATCGGAGGCTAAATGGATTAGAATAAAACCAATTTAAAGGAAAAAAGAAATGTTCACAGCAACATAAATAGAGAATCTTGCTATCTTGGCTTCCTGAGATCTGCAGACCTCACCAAGGAATTTAAAAAGGAATGTTTCTTATCATAAGTGACAGAAATATGCTGCTTTCTGCATCAATAGATATGAAGATTAAAGGGTCTGACTGTATTAAACAATTTCGCACGGCACCAGGCACTTTGGGCTGTGCTCTCTGCCTTATTACCCTTCATCTTGTGGCTATTTCAGGCCCAATTTAAGAATACAATGCAGCCTGGCTTTGCAAATTGACATCCTTTAATTTAAACTGTCTTGTGGGAGAATTAAGAAATTATGGAACAATTATTCCCCCTTAGTTGAAAGCTGGATGACATCCTGAGATTCTTGTACATTAGCCATTTGAATTGATTAAGTCACATAATTGAATTACACCTTTGCCCCCATAATATCTTGTGGCAAATATGTTGGTGTTTCGTGTTGGGAAAATGCTCTCATCAAAAGCTAATGGGGCTGGGATTGCAGATTGACCTGGGTGTCAAAGCAAACCTCAGAGCAGGATGGGCTGATGCTTAGAGGTTTTTGTGGGGGAGGTGGACTAGCAGAGGGAATGTTCCATTTGGAGTCACAGTGGCAGTTCACAGAGCAAGAGCAATGCATGATATAGTATGCTTCTGCCCAGCCCAGCTCCGCACTGGCCTCTAGCATTCAGTGAAGAGTGCAGCGCATTCTCTAAGCTTCCTGTAATATCTCCCGGGAACAACTATGCCGGGCTTGGGGTATGGCACTTTTCCTTTCGGTTCCTAGCTTTCCATCTGTGCTGAGACCACAGTAACCAACCCCATGGTGACCAGTATGCTTTCCCAGACAGGGAAGCCATGCTGGAAAGCCAGTCCAGCCCACCAGGCCTAGCAAATGGCCTCAAGAGGCGTGTACCACATAAGGTTTTATTCTGCAAGCCTCAGGGTTTAGTCCCTAAGATATTTTCTTTTGTAGCGTGGGTGGGGAGAGAAGTAGAATCCATTAGTCATTTTTAGAATGTCATTGTTAGGTGTCCTTTTAACCACTTGTATCATGAGGCAGTCATAAAAGGATTTATTAAACGCAACTCTCTTTAATAAATATCTGTTGGATCCCTATCATGTACAAAATCTAAGTGAGGTGCTGAGGGAAAAAAGCCACCCAAAGGTATTTCCAGTTCTTCAGAAGAGCTCAAAATGTGGTTTGAGGTTGGAGAGGTCAGTGCAGGAGTAGCCTGGTAGCCGAGAGAGCCAGGAGGAGGCCTTGAATAGTCCAGAGCTATAGAGGGGAGAGGCACACTCCATTTCATTTCTCTGACACTTCACTGCCTTCTTGGGCCCTGCCTCTCGCCCTCTGCACGTCTCCCTTTGCAACCCAGCAGAGACTCAGACTCTTCGTGGTCAGCCTGGAGGTCCTGCCCCTCACTGCAGACTGCTGGGAGCGGATCTGCAAGCCTCGGTCCCCTGTACCTCTCCCCAGCACTCCCCACATTGGGAAGCAATCTGGGTCTTCAGATTCCTTGCTCTGTGTGGCACTAGAATCTCTTGCTCTTTTTAAAATCTCTTTACCTTGCCTTTACATTTATCAAAGAATACTGTCGGTGCTTTAAAACCCGACTGCAGCAATCCTCCTGAACATTTCTGGGTGGAAGGGATTAATCAAGTCTGTCAAACAGTGAGCGGTAAAACCTTTAATATTTTTAAAAGGTTTAAAGCCAGCATATTTATTGCATGCATCATTGAGAATAATCTTTGTGTTTATAAAAAAATTAAATGCTTACCATGAAATGTTGTGATGGACACAGTGAGTGAAAGCTCATGCAGGGACCCAACTGTGACACTGGAATGGGAATTCTGGTTCCACCCAGACATCTCTGACGTCACCACTGGGAGCCACCCCCTTAGACCCCGCTCATCTGTGGATGTGAATGTCTTCTGAGGTGGAATTTTAGTTTCGTTGATTATGAGAAGTAGGAGAGAGGAACTAATTTTTGTTGAGTACTTGCTATGTGTCAGGTATTGTGTCTGCACGTTTTGGATGGGTTCCTGCACTGTAATTTTCAAAATGGCCCTTAGTAGTAGCACTGCCATACCTGCTTTAGATACAAGGAAACTAAAATTCAAAAGTGGAAGCAATTTTCTCAAGATGTCATAAATATTCATTTGCAAATCTGGGACTTGACACAAAGCTTGTCTAATTCCTTCATTCAGTTTGTGTGGCAAATGATCACCGCAAGGTAGGTATCCACCAAAATTGTTTCAATGGTTAGCATCAAGGTTTCTAAGCATTTTTATTGAAAAATGATTGTACTCCAGACAGAGGCATAATGTGGATAGTTGGACATGATTCTGAAAATCTGAGGTGTGTGTTTAGACATGTTTAATACAGTAGCGTGGTAATAATTCTTAGAGTAGGAAGAGTATCACTCAGGGAGTTTGTTAATATAAACAATTCAATGCATTTCATTATATATAAAGTATCTTCCCAGGAACAGCCCAGTGTAATCCACTCCACTGCTTGCTTATTAATAGTAACAACACTATTTCCATTTGGTAGGTAGGGAAACAGGTCCAACAGTCCAAATTCTGCCCAGGTCATTTGGCTAGAAACAGCGCCACTGACACACAAACTCTGTTTTTCTGTTTTCATTCACAATCTTTCCACTCATATTTTTGGGCCAGTTAGTGGCTATTTATAAGAACGCAAAAAGTAAAACAGTTGTTTTATTTTTTTATTTTGAAGTTTTATTTATGTGAAAGTGTGCAATGTCAAAAGTGTACTTTAACAGTTGTTTTGATCTTGGATTTCAATTTAATGTGTCCATGTGAAAACTTTTGCAAACACTTCGTTAAAAATACTTAAAAGAGTTAAATAGTAGTTTATAATAAGCTACGTATAATATAAATTTTCAGCTTTTTTGCGGTACAGCTGACAAATGATAAAGGGTTGAAGTTCGTAGAGACCTCTGAGATGCATAACTCCTGTTTTCTACGTTTGATAACTGAAGTCTGCTCTTGAAAGTAGGGATGACCCACAGAAGGTTCTGTGGTGACAGAGATCCCTTTGTTCAGATGGGGTGGATGGCATAAAATCAGAGAAGTGCACTCTGAGTGCGTCACCCTTTGTGATGTCCTGAGAGGAGGAAAAGGATTTTAATGGAAAAGATCCGACAAAGGATGTCAAAATGGGAGAAAGGAAGGAGTGTGTGGCGGGATAACAACACGCAGTCTCACGGGCAGGCCCTGTGTGGAACTCCAGTTTGTTGTTTGAACATAATTAATTAGTTGTGTAGTTGCCTTCGTAGATTGCCACTATTGTGCCACACGTACATGTGATTAAGCCCCCGCCAGGCAGGTGGTGTCCTCTGCCTGCCTCTGTTCACACTTCCGGCTTGGCACTGGAGGAGGCTACCAAAAAAGAGTTCTCAAGTTTGGAAAGACTTGCAATTCCAAACTCACCTTTTCTGTCAGCACACTTCGCTTTCTGGCCAGATGCAGCGGGAAAGAGAAAGGTAAAAGGTGTAAAAGTAGCTTTCGTCTCCTAGGCTACTATGGAGGCAATGGACCCATTTCTGGAATTTGTTTGGGTGAGTGAGTTGTTTCCCCAGTTTATATACTGCAAACTGTAATTAGCATTGGCAAGAAAAGTGACTGTGTTGGGCAGCATAACTTCCCTTTCCACAGCAGCCTCTGTTCTGGAGGCTGGTCTCTAGCGCTGGGCTTTTCCTGTGGGCAGGCATATCCTTGATAGCTAAAGAGGGTTATTCTGATAGTGAAGCTCTTATCTGCATTGGGGGCAGAGGCCAGCACATGACCTACAAGTCACAAGTGCAACTTGTTTCCTTTATTCCTTTATTCGGTGAACATGCATGAGCTCATACTCACATGACGCCTTCCCTGTGGTCAACCCCAGGCTACCTAGCAGGGCCAAGAGCACTGCTTGCATTGTGGAAGGCACACTTGTCTACAGCAGGCGGATGGCTGGATACACAGTACCAGCTGAGGCCTTTTCATCTGGGAAACTGTGAGTAAATCAGACACTCACTGCATTAGCTAGGAGGAGTAATGTTTAGCTGCTATAACTAACAGCCCCTCTCAACCTAAGACATAGTATGATTAACATGCATTTTTATAATTAATGCAATAATTCAGAGAACTGAGCATTTTTCCCTAACTTATCTATGATACCACCGTCTTCTGCTCTGCTTGTGATCTCTAAGGCTTTAACGACAAGAAAAATTTGGAGGGAAATTACATTTGAGAAACTTTTAGGGAGTACTGTATTTTGGGAAATGGTCCCACCTGTATCTCATTGGCCAGGATTCAGTCATAGGTTCCCACTTAATTGTAAGGGACTAGGAAATATAAATTAGCTCTATGCCCAGAATAAGACTAACAGATATAGTTTCATCCTAACATAGTTCCTTAAACTCATTTCCTATCCAGATATATTCACAATTATGTAAAAAATGCATTTTTGGCACCATTTTGAGTGAACCTTTCAGAAAATAGGATCTTCCAGTGTAGAATGAAACACTGCTGGTGACAATTTAATAAATACTAATTATCTGGAGAATCTTAAATGATAAAACTTTGAATCCAGGATATTCTGGCACTTCAACCCCAAAACTGGAAATAATGAAGATTTATGGACAAATTTCCTTCCCCA